GAGGTTTGGTGCAGAGCAATACCTCCTAGGGTTGGTAGTTTTTGTTGGGAAGCCTATCTGGAAAGAATCAACATTGGTGATTTACTCCAAAAGAAGAGACCCAATACATGTTTGTCACCTCAGTGGTGTGTTCTTTGTAAAGCGGATGGGGAGACTGGTTTTCACCTACTGGTGTCTTGTCATTTTGCGAGATTAATTTGGGAATGGGCTTTGTCCCTTTTTTGTTGCAGTTGGAAGCCCCCCATCAGACTTGCAAGGCCTTTTTTCCCCTTCTTTTTTGAGGTAGCGGATAAAAGGGGAAGGACAATGTGGAGAGGACTAAGGGCTGCAGTGTGTTGGACACTTTGGGAAGAAAGAAACTCCAGGATATTCTCAGAAGCTCAGAGAGGAGCAGCAGATCTGAGGGCTATCATTCAAATTAGGGTGGTACAGTGGCTGAAATCTTTGAAGCTTTTCACAGATTACAGTGTGGATGACTTGTTGAGGAAGTGGGGTGAAATTGCAAGTTGCACACAAACTAAGTCAGTAATGTGTAAGGCTTGGACCCCTCCACCTAGTGGTTTCGTGAAACTAAACTTTGATGGGTGTAGTAGGGGAAATCCGAGACAATCAGGGATTGGGGATGTTTTTAGGGATGAAAATGGGGTCATTTCTGCCATGTTCTCAGGCCCAATTGGAGTGGGTGGGTGACTCCCTTAGAGCTGAGATCTTTGCAGTTATGGAAGGAGTCCAAAAAGCTAAGGAGTTGGACATCAGGAAACTCTTAATTGAAGGGGATTCAGGAAACTGTAGTGTTTTCTTTCTTTCTTTCTTTCTTTCTTTCTTTTCTTTTTTTTGTTTCCTTTTCTTGAGGTTATTTGTTGCTCTTGGAAGATAAGTGTGTTTGTCTTCCTTTTGTAAATCTTCTATTGATGATTTAATGAAAGTGTTATTGATCAAAAAAAAAAAAAAGGCGCAAGGGGAAGCAAGAGGTTCTCCCCGTGGACCGACCCGTGATGAAATCCTACGCCCGGGCCCATAACAGTTAGCATGGGGAGTAACTCACTAAACTCCTTGTAAGTAATAATACTTAAGTATCATTAGGAAGAATAGAATTAAAAGCATCAAAGTTACTAGGGATAAATGATGTAGAAGGAATTGGGTTTACCAGCTCCAAAGGTTCTTGCAGTTGTGGCAGATCAGCATTAGGGGCCAGGGATCAAAAAATCGATAAACCTCAAAGTTGAGTATCAGTGCATATTGATATCCCTGATTCCCTATATTTTAAAACCTTTATAACTTATTTGTACTGGTGTATGCATGTGTTTAGGTGTCCACCGATATGGATACGATATGCCCATTACGAGGAGTATCATATCAGTATTTTGATCCTTGATAGGAGCTACTCTCTGTCTTCTCTGATACATCAATTGCTTATCAAGTGATGTATCAATAGTACACAGTTTGGGACTGGGAGAGACATCTAAGGTAACATCGTCCATCATGAAAACAGTAACAAAAAGCACCTTTCTTCTGCAGTAGACTCTCCCCATGAAGAGATGTCAAATAGAATAGAAAGATTTTGACTCAAAAAAAGTGATGTAAATGGTAAAAAAAACAATGATACTTTCTAAAATATGGAATACCAATAAATTAGTTGCCAGCCCAAAGGGATGCCACAGTTTGGATTTAACTCTTCCAATCAAATATTTGATTGGATATTGGGTATATGCTGAATAATATGTGGCTTTTGAAGATTAATTTTGATGATCAAAAAATTTTGAATAGGTTTTTAGCTTTTTTAGGGTTGTCAGCATGTTGAGTTTGGTACTGGTTTAGCTCAATCCAAACCAAACCTGACTAATGAAAATAGAAACCTGATCCCAATCCAACCCACCCGGCCACCCCACAAATAATACACCTATTCTCAAACAAGGCTAACTCTATAAATGTTTCAGTGCCACATTTCAACCTACACGCAACAGATTGGGTCAATACGGGTTTGGACAGGACCGACTCAACCTGAACTGACCTCAAACCAGATTAAGGCTGAACCAAACCTATGCCAATAGGATCAGGTCAATGTGGGTGTACTTATCCACTCAGACTCAGACAAAACCAGATTATGAGCCAATGGCCCAATGACCTTTCCAAGTCTTGTTTCAATACCAGGTTTCACAGTTTGAATGGGTTACCTCACCATTCCTACATTATATAGTACATATAGAAATATGCACTTCACCAAATATCCCAGACAATGGCCAATTTGTTACCTATGCTACCCCTAAGTTCAAAGAAAGTAACTATATTCTATTTTTCCCAGTTTTTGCCATGCATCCATCTTAGGTACGTTCAATGATAGGCCATAGGTGTCAAGACAACATCTAGGCAGCCACATATTCAACAAGGTAGCATATAATACAATTATATGCAGAATGTAATTAACATCTATAAAAAACAAAGAGCTGTATCTTCCTATAGAAATTTTCTATCAACTGAGCATTACTAAATTTTAATAATAATTTTGCCCTTAAAGTTAATAGTAGAAATAAACAGATATTATGCTACATAATCAAATAATGCTTATAAAATTATCAAGACAAATATTATTGTCAGTACCAATAATAGATTCTGATAGACAGCTATATCAATAACATATGATTCTAACAAGCAAAGATCAAAATATCATCTAAGAATGTCATAGACTACTTCATAATCAAGGTGAAAATTAAAAATAAATAAATAAATAAAAGCCGGTCCTTCAGGCATATTCCAGGGGAACTGAAATACAAAAATGATTGCCATTAAATGTGGAATGCATACCTCCCTCCTAGGTAAACCGGCAAGAGTAAGCTTCACATTTTGTTGTTGGGCCTGTTTTGTCATTGGTGCTGATCGATCAATGGGATGGTGAAATTTGCATCTCTCTCCAAACTTACATTCCCCAGTTTTCATGTAGTACTTATACAAATAAAGAACAAAAATACAAATTGCAAGAACATCATTACTGATCCAAAGAAACCAAGAAACCTAATATTCATGAAAGGAGAATAAACTATTCTTGGACTCCTCAATAAAAAAACAAAACAAATACCCAAATCTGATTAAAGTTCTTAACAAATGACCAAAACTAGATATTCTTTCAGAACATGTCAAATGAAAATCTTAACAGAGCAGACTTTAGTTTTTTCCTCAGACACAAAGAGTGATGATGTCCACTAACATCCGAGTACCAGCTGAAAATAAATGTTACTTTCATGAAAGAAGTGAATGTTGATAATCCGCAGGTGACGTCTCCTTTTTATCAGTAACCAATCAAAGAGAATAAATTAAGAATCAGAGCAGACAACAGACTATAGTTGAGCAGACAACAGTTAGCAATAATAGTGAGTCAGAAAATAGCCAGCAACACCCCTTCCCTAGCCAATTAACCCGCTATGGAGTCCACATATCCTTGGGCCCATCTGAATGGTTTTAATCTGATTGTCAATGATAGCATCACTACGATAGCATGAAGAAATGATCAAAAACAAAGAGGCATCCGCCCTCATCCATCACATATCTACTTGCAAGTCACCTTAAATCTCTATATCAAAAAAAAGGTCATTAGCCAATGTTGGTCCCAGCAATCGCATATGGTCCGCATAAAGTCCGAATATCAACCAATGTTGGTCCCATGTTCCCACATTTGATAACCCAAGATTTAATCATTACACTAAGTAATCTCTATATATAACCAATAAAAAATGCCAACCTTGGCCCTCAAAGAAGAGATAATGGTTCAGAGCAGACTGGTGTTCACATATTTGGCTTCAATAAATTAGCAATGTTTCGGTTTCCCGATTTCTGAAAGCCCCCTTGTCAATGAGGGCCAGGGTGCCACAAGAAGCAGCCAACCAAGTAAAGATTAATGACACCCAACAGTGGAATTAGCCAGGATCGGAACCTAAAAATGATCTAGATAAGAAAAAAAAGTTACCAAACTCCATCCCTAATATTGTCATCTATGCTAAAATATGTTAGCCTTCTAGTGCTTATAAGCAGTAAGCAACCCTTAGAAATGATGCATATATAAACTGCAGCTTACGAACAGTGCATGAAGCATGAGATTAGACTAGTGAATGCAAGCTTATCGGTGCATACGTACATCACATTCAATCTGTCCAGGTCGTTGAGGATAGATAGTCGGGCCTAGTCCAAGCTGCAACGGAAATACATAAAATGAATAAATCATAGATTCAAGGTCAATATGCCAAAGTAGGTTCAATAAACAAATATCCAAGGAACAAACTAAACTTTTTTTATAAGAAAAAACAAACTTAACAGTTGATAATACTTAGAAAATAATCAAACTATTTATTTCACTTGTAAATGAGAATACTTTCATGTGTAACGAAATCTTGCATTAGTATAAACAGAAAATATACAAAGTTATAAATATAACGCAGAGCATAGATATTCACTATCTCTCCCTATTCAGTTCGCTCTACAATTGGGACCAAAACACCGATTCCCAGTTGCCCCATGTTTTGCTCAAGTATCAGTCATACAGTTAGCTGACCTTTGCACCCATCCAACTTTCACAGGCATGTCTTAGTCAGCCACCTGAATTTCTTTAACTCATTTCCATATGACCATAGGTTCTTTTCTTACTTTGCATAGACCTGATTACCACTGTTAAATCTCCTTCAAATGATTAGTTTATCCTGTCCCAACTCCTCTGCCCACTGCACTCATTTAGTTTCAGCCACAAGTACTGCCCTTTTAGAGTTTCCTACTAGAACTGACCCACAGAAACCTGACCTTCATTTCCAACCACTCCTCCCACACATGAAGGTCCTGGGTTCCCAAGGCTGCAACCATCAAAGTTAAGCTTCATAGTGGTGTCTTTTATGAATCTACGTCCTTTTTGATAAAGTTCCAACCACCTCTCCCCATTTCCAAATTAAATCTTCTTTTGAGAAAGGGGAAAAATGCCCAATGACTTGATCCAATGTACCACCCCAGTACATGTGAATACATTTTTTTTGGAGAATGTATATGTGAGTACACTTTGCCATCAAAATGTAAAAAAGAAGGCTCATACATCTTAAGAAGGTTCCATAGGCATGGTTTTGAATATTTAATATAGCATACAGTAAAAATTTCCCATATTCAAACACATAAATCAAATTAAATGTCCCCTTCCACATGTGGTGCAAGGATTTTTGCAAACAGGCCTACACCCAAGAATATTAAAAATAAGCCCACAAAATAAGTTTGATTTATTGTGGTTTCTTTTCAATAGGGAAGTCACATGCTTCTATTGCACAAAAATAGAGAATGGAACATCCTCACTTCAACCGCTCTTTAATATTTAAAGAGCTATATGCACTAAATCAGTTCACCATTCCTTCTTTTAACTTTGATGTAACTGGTGAAGAACTGAAGATTGATTACTATCTACAGTGATGAGACATCGCCATCCCTTAATCGCATATGGTAATGCACTTCACCAAAAGTGAAACTAGATTCAGAGATATTCTTTCCTATTTGTGGAAAAAGAGGCCGCAAGCCCAATGTAAAGTGCAAAGTGCAAACAACTCATCTCTAAATGTTGTTTTCCACAACTAAAAGACGCTTGTTTTCATTATGCAAAGTTGATTGGAACTTCACAGCAATCAAAACTCAAGAGATCATATTTAATCATGAGGCCGTAAGGTCATTTCAGCTTTTAATATTGGTACGTTAAAACAGCTTACTTGCACAAAAAAACGAAGAAAGAGAAATACTAGCCTTGCCTAAACAATAGGTGCACATTAAAATACCACCTCTACATGAACTGTCCATGCTCATCATCAGATAGCAAGAAATTTGTAGAACACAATTTTTTTATCAGTAACAAGATCAATATTGAACTAAAGATTTTAAGTAAGAAATATAAAACCTTACACTCCAGAATAAGAGAGCAGTAACAGCCCACAATCAGACACACAAGCTCATGGGATAAAGAACACACAGTTGCACACCATCTCTAACAGATATTTGAACTTACTGCTGTCTGAGCAATCCTGGGGTCTATAGTTGGGAGAAGAGAGGCAGCAGGATTAATGACTCCAATATTCAGATTAGCCGCTGCAGAGCTGATTAGTGCATGGCTCAGTGCTGCTGCTACTGGTGGATTAATAGCTGCATGCAAGTTGCAGAATTTTTTGAAGCAGAAAAATATTTGAATGAATCACAATCAAGAATTCAAGATATCCAATAGTATACAAGTTGCTAAATCTAGAAAAAGGCATACCATTTCTGTCAGGGTGATTGTAGCGGCAAGTGGCACCATACTTGCAACTGAATAAAAAAACAAAAGTTAATTGAATCTCTGCAGTTGTACAACTAAATATTTAGAATAGATGACCATAAAATAATTACTAATTATCTGCAGATGTGATGATATTCACCTTCCAGTCTTGAGGTAAAATGGACAATCCACTTCACCCTGTAAGAGGAAGACATTATTGAGATACAAATAGGAGCGGCTTCAAGAAACTATAAAATTAATCATCACAAAGAAGCAAAAGAACCTAACTGGCATTTCAAGGATCATGAGGTCATGGTCTCAAAATAACCACCATAGCAAAACTATCAGATTGAAAAGAAATAAGAGTTTTAATGAATTACCAGTCCTGTAATTATCCTCAGTGAAACTACAACAAAATTGTTCAAATGAATTACCAGTCCTGTAATCATTTAAAAAATTACCGGTCTAATTGGTAGTCCTTTGGAATTATGTAAAAGTGCTGGAGTGAATGGAACAAAAGGCTTGAGATTCACATCTGCTGCCATTGTTTCATCATTTATGGTCACAGTTTCAGTTTCTTCTCCATTACCATTTTCTTGTCCAGACACTGGTATTTGGATATCCTTTGGATGATGGAACTTGCAGCTTGCACCAAACTTACATTTTCCAGTCTTCATGTAGAACTGTTTCAAAGTTAAGCCTAGCAGGTATTATTACATTAGGGCAATAAAAGAAGTTAGTTAACACCCACCACAGAGAACAGGAAAAATATCTTACAGCACATGTTGGTTCTGATGGCCTTTCAGGTAACTCAACAGCTTCAGAACCAACCTGCAATTGAATAAATCATCAGGTGAGTATCAAAACAACAATTTACAAAACAAGATGAAAATACAAAATACATCCTAATGATTCACCTGGACCCAAATTACCTACCAAAGAGTCTATTTTATCTTTAGGATGGTTAAATTTGCACCTAAAACCAAACTTGCATTTTTGAGTCTTCAGAAAATACTGAAACAGGTTAAAAGGACAAATCAACAAAACATGAAAATACAAGTATTTTAGGAAAATGGAAAATTTTGGCAGACCACTTAGAGGAAAAAATTAATAAAGAAGATGGCACTTACAGGACAATCTGGCTCCCCAGGTCTCTCAGGAAGAGATTCACTGGTAGCAATAAGTGGAACCTGTACATAGTAATAAATAAACAAGTAATTCTTTATCAGTAAATAAACAATTATTATGAATCTATCAGTGTTTAGAATAGCTACAAACATTTTCCAATCTCTAAATACAAGGATAAAACATATACCTGCCAATTGAGCAATAGAGGGAATAAGGTAGACATACATATTAACAGAAAAACAGAAATATACTGTCTAATAAAATCCATCACACATAGATGGCATCAAAAAATCAGAAGACAGTGTCTTAGACTATATAGCAAGTCAATCTTGAAAAATAAAAAGAAGCATAATGCAAATTAAGAAGCATTTGAGGATATATATAAAATAAAATCTCAAAGATAATAAAATGAGTGGATTCTAAGGTGTTGTCAGATAACACTCATGAACCATGTACTAGCCCAAAGAAAATGAGAATGAATAAATACTACTAAAATCCATTACCAACGTTACAAAAACGATAACCCCATCATCCTGAGAAAGCAAGTATCAAAAACATTAGAAGAGCTAACATAACACAAAAAATGAAGTTTTAAGAATATAATAGATGCATATAATGCACTGCTTGATCATGGCTAAATAAGCTGAACTAAATAACTGATTTGTCTTTCAGTGAATAAGTAAGGGAGAGAGCTTCATGATTGTTTAACAGCATGTTGTGATTACCATAACCCTAAATATTTCATTATATAACAAATTCATCCAATAAAAGACAATTAAAATCAATTTGGTTCAGAGATCAAATCAAGCAATGGAGCTATGAAGAAGCAGCAGTGCTACATTTTCAAGGGAAGACAAGATCAAAAGAACTCTGTTCAAGAAACACAAAAATCAAGCAATGAATCAGCAGCAACAGTGGCACATTTCAAAATCATTTCAGTTCACCGAGACAAAGAATCCCATCTATATGCTTCATAGTTTACTACAAATCATAAAGATATTTCAACATATTTCAATTTGCAAGTATTTTTAGTTCTTTCTATATTAGCAAACATATTTGCTCCATTGGTTTCTCTAATAATATTCCATGCATTACCTCATTTGATTCATTTGAATGGAAGAGAGTCAAGAGACAATGAATGACAGTTTTCCCTACTGATGTCATTGGTGCCGAGACCAAACACATAAAGGTGTTAACTTCATCTCTAACTGCTTATTCCTAGAGAAACCTAATGGCACTGACTCAGGGCATTTTGTTCCTTGGATGAGTACTAGTTTAAAGGCTCATATGTCTTATTATCTACGATTCACTTATTTTTTTAATTTTTCTGGGCATTTTTGCATCACCACCTCCTCTTCATTTCTCTTATTATCCCATCCTTTCCCATTGCTATTTTTTTATCATCAAGCTTTTGTCATGCATTTGTGAATCATTATGATAGTAAAACGGTGAATCTTGTTGATTCAAACCACTAAAACCTACCCTAAACCTTTGACCAGCCTTTCTACATTCTATTTACTCAATCAACCTACATAATCGATTCAAATCCCTTCTATGCTCCTATTGTTTACATCTCCTCATATTTTTTTTCTGGAAGTAAATGTCAATTTTCATAGCCCTTGAACATTCTCTCCGTTTAAGTCGAGGGTCAAAGCAAGCAAGCTGAGTCCCTTGTGGTCTATTTTTCCTTTTGTTTCATCATTACTTTTTGCTTCGTTAGAAGGATTCGATAACCAAGCCCCAGTGCCCTACTGTAGTAAATTAGTAATTCCAGCCTTATAACCTCATTTATACCTAACCAATAGCTTGTTTCCCCTTAGAAATTCATTGAAACCTTATCTTTTGATTTCTACTGAAAACAAGGTAATCTATTTACTGATCAGACATTAGGTTAATAATAATTAGAAAATAAGCAAAAAAGGTATTTGCAATCCATGTTGCTAAATTTTTTAAGACCAGTTTACTTGAAAAGTTCTGTCCAGTTTATACCATTCTAGTTCTGTAAGAGGATTGTGGAATGAACCAAAATCAACTCCAATTCAGGTTAGACTCAATCCAACAGTCTAGTGCACTCCACTTTTTAAATACCGTTTCCTAGGCGAACAAATGCCATTGTAATTCAAGTGCCACCAAAAAGATCTGCAAAATGTCAACAAATTAACTACAAATGACAAATCCAACAGTCATAATACAACCTCGAACAATGACTATCCAAAGCAATCCCCCACCAAACCCATGACTGAAAAGATAAATCACACAACTCCAAATTATGCAACTTATTCCTCTTCAAATTCCTCATCAGAGTCATCAGACTATAATTCCCCATTGCCACATTTTCAAACTTCTTAACACACTGAGACTTGAGAGAGAAGGGGAAGGGGGGGAGGGAAAGACACAGACAGACAGACAGACAGACGGAGAGATTTACGACCAAAGAGTAAATAGAGAAGAAAGGGCTTGAAAATAACTAACAAATAAGTATGACAAATAACCTTAGCTGCCGAAGTTAAATAGATAATTGATAAGCAAAAAAAATGAAAAATATAATCAAACATAGGAACAAAGATTTAAATGCAATTTGCTATAATGCATTTTAAAATATAATATAAAATAAATACAAGAATATGAATAAATTCCCACCTATCATGTAAGAAACTAAGTTTTCTTCACTAAGTAGTTAGATGTTATCCACCATGAACTTTCAGAGAAGGAAACAAAGGACAACCAACATACCATGGCAAAATAAATCCATTTCATTGGCACCCAAAAAAAAACATATATCCTATGATTAAAATAAATATGCTTCTGAATCTTTGGTAAAAGAAAGAATGTGAATTAGATGATGAAATGTTAAAGCCAAAGTCCCTTTACAATCTAAAGATGAAAACTGAATGGGAAAACACGGAAAATCAATAGTTGGATACAAGATGCCAACAAATTTTTTTTATGGCCAATGCCTTGCAAAACAAAGAAACCATCCGATGCTGACACCAAAAATTTATCAATGACGTGAAAATATATGTTTAATTAGCACGAAATCCTAGGGTTAGAAAATTAAGACAAATTCCCAAAGCCCAAGCATTCTAATCCCACATAAGATACCATTTTGATGTACTCATCTAATATATAAATCCAAAGGGAATACATAGTAAAGTTATACCATAAGATCAGATATATCCATAAAAAAAAGTAATTAATTAGCAGACATATATACCGAGGAAACTATAAAACATAGGGGTTTATATTAATAATGTAAATAAATAAATTAAGCAAATGGTCTTATTTTATAAGTTAAGAAAAACAATAAGTGGTCACCTCTTTCCAATCCGGGATTCCACCTTCAGGAACCCAAAGAGGATGATCGAACTTGCAGCTATCTCCAAACTTACAGGTTCTTGTGAGCATATAGTGGGCACAATCCTTCTCTCCTGGTCTCTGTGGATAAATAGGCAAATTGCTTGCACTTTCGAACCTAGGGCGCTTGACAAAAGAGTTCATGGAAAATAAAGCCTCACTTTGTCCAATAGTGTTATGGGTTCCCAGAACATTCTGATGGTAGAGAGCTATATGTAGATAATAGAGAAAATAAAATAAGAAAACAGCAGCATACATAGATGATAGTCTATAAATACAACTTAAAAAATAAGGAAATAATAAACCAAAACGTTAGAGTAGCGATAAGGCAGAATACTCAATATATGATAGGAGTTGTAGCTAGCATATATGAAAGAACAGGTAACATATTTATAAAATTAGATATTTAAAATTCACCAATTTTAAATGATAAACCATGGTAACAACATAGGAGTGGATACACTTATCAAAAAAAAAAACATAGGAATGGACAGAAAGTATTACACACATGGAGTTAACTTAAGTAAAATAGTAAGTGTGATACTAAATTCAATTGAGAGAAAAATTTACAAAAAGAAAATTCTTAATAGCAATTAGCAAACTCTTTTAAAAACTTCCCGAGGGTCCCTTGGGCATCCCAATATATAGCTAGGGAAACATCTCCTGTAGGCATTCTTGTCAATCTTTGAGCTGGAAATCTCCTTGTAATAATTGCATCATCAAGTCATCACCTCTCTTCACAGGAAATTGTTTTTGTCCATCTTTAATCAGTAATATAAACAAAGAATTCTATTGATAATTAATACAAACAGCAGTTACAGCACACAAACACAAGGCAATAGCTGGTTCCACCAAAGATAAGGGTTTTTTGTTGGGTCTATCAAATGAAGGTAGACACTGCCAAAGTTTTGCAAGGAAAGAAAATCTAACCGGCACACGTCACCTAATACGAGCCTTTTGTGTGAAGCAAGTCACTTACTAATCTCTGTTCCTTTGTCCATGGCATCAAGAAATTTTTCTTCTGGTGTGGTTGCAAGTGGCCACCCACAGCTGAACTGAGTAATCTCTTTAAGAAGTTTTCTTCCCACAAAAGAAGAGGGGAGAAGATCCTATGGAAAAGCACAACTGATTGGATGGATAGAAAAGCAAGTTTAAAAAGAACAAAAAAACAAGGAGGATGCAATCAAGCATATATTAATCAAAGTGGCTAAATGGGTAAAATCTCTGGATAGCATTGACCCATTCCCAACAGTTGGCATCATTGAAGGATGGCAAAATATAGCAGCCTCATCTGTGGCAAGGAACATCATCGTTATTGATTGGTTATCATGTGCAGATAGTCAGATGCCTGTACATGCCTAGCATACTGGTGTCAGATACAATATTAGATACTCCATAGATGCAAATATATGTACTTCATGGCATTAACACTTTTAAAATAAGTAAATAATATGTTTTAACAAATTATGCTATAAAAAGATCCTCCTTTGATGGGTCTCTCTTGTCACCTAACTTATCCAAGTAAAATTTCGACGGGTATAGGCGTATAGCATGGGTAATCTAAGGAAGTCAAGAATAGCAGAGTTTTCAGGAATAATCATGGGCAAATAATGACCATTTTCTCAGGACTCATTAATTATGGAGACTCTACAAGGTCAGAAAAATAAGATTTATTGCAAGAACCAAGTCAAGGAAGCTCTGTTCAGTCTTTATCATGGCAACGGTGTGGTAGTTGACTCCAAGGTGGTTGTCAGGTAGCTTAAAAACAACAATTTAGAGTCTTGGCAATACCGGCATATTTTGAGACAAGCAGGAAGCTCAGCAGGTTTGCTAAGGACAAGATTTACTTGGGTTCAGAAATCAACAAATAGTCTAGCAAAAGCTTTTACCACACAAGGAGTACAAAGGAATGAACTTGTACGAAATAATCCCCAACAAAACTGATGAAAATGTAAATTATTAAAGGGTAAAGAAGGTTATGTGGCCAGTGCTAGCCTATGTCCACAGTCCACCTAAGAGGTGCTAAACACATTTTTGTACTTTGTATACTATATTCTCTATAAAAAATAAAAATGTGTTATTGATCAAAAATATATGTTAAACATTACCCAGATTGACATGACACTTCTCTACTTCTCAAGAATGGGAGAAGAGAACCCCAAATAGGGTTCACCTGACTTACTCTATATTAGAAAAAAAAAAAGTGCAAGCATTATATCTAACCCTATTTGATATACCCCTGAAGAACCCCTCTCTAGGCACCATGTGCCAAGCTATCGGCTAGAGAGTTATATCCTCCCTAAAGTTTGCTTAGAGAAAAATACATCTCTCCTCACAAGGTGCAAATATAGATAAAAGAAGCTTTTGGGGTAATAAAATAAAATTGATTAAAATACAAAAGAAGATACAAGATATGACAAAGATGAGCAGCAGTGACCAAAGATAAGAAAAAGGAAATTAACACTAGACTCAAAAAATAACCCCATAAGAAAGAAATAACATACCTACAACAATAACAACAACCAACCACGCACAGTAGACATCTAAGGCCAAAAAAACTAAAAACTGAGAACAACAAAACTCCAACAACGACCATGCTAGACAAACTTTGAATACTTCACCACACCTGCAGAATTAGATTGTAACAAGCCTTACCTCACACTGCCAGCACTATTAGACTGAACTCATTTGTTTCTCTTACTAAATTGGCGTTTCATAACGTTATTTGGCGTCTGAGGTCTGAAAAACTTGCTTTTCAGTCCTCAGCCCCATTTGAGACACCGGTCAAACCAAATTAGGTTCAGACGCGTTTTTCCCTGTCTCGGTAAGATGTGGCCCCAATTGCTTACCACGTTCAGACGCATTTTAGAAGGTCAATGTCGAAAATATCCCTGCTATTTTTCAAGCAGACAGCATATGCCCTCTCTAAAGTCTTATTTTCCTCTTTTTCATTCAAGCCCTAAACCATCGACTCTTGCCTCAAGCTCTCACTACTATGTCTTTTCTCTGACAACAGCTGCGCACATCCATGACACTAGTGGGTCCAAGTGACTTTTTCAACTGTTTTTTCCCCTATTTCAATTGCACTCATTGGCATTGCCAATTTATTTTCATTTCATTTCTTTCCTGTTAAGCGGAATCAGTTTGGGATTTCTCCTCTGCCAGGGGCCATAGTGGTCACTACAGTATAGTTGAAGTTCCCTTTTTTACTTTTTCTTCTTCAGACTTTTTTTTTGCTGTTTCCACTCTGATTCTACACATATACATCATCACTGTAGGCCCTACATTGTTTCCCCTTTCATTTAAAGAATTAATGCTAAGTTTTTTCTTATTCAAATGTTTTTTGTACTCTCTATTAACCTTTCTTGTTCTATGTTCTTGCAGGTTGTTAGAACCTAGACAGAACCAGAAGGTTTGGTCCATGGCAACAGCTCTTTGGGGACAACAAAAAACAAATGGTCTGTATTCCAGAAGGTAAACATGGTGGAGGTTGGAAGCTGATGGCACAGAGTTTACAGAAGCTCTTAGTGAAGAAAGGAAAGGATTCAACCAGAATAAAGGGGTCTGGAGGTGAGGAAACAATGGCCAAACAAAGGAGGCCTATTTGGAGTCCAAGGACAAGGAAAAAGGAACACAAGGGGGACTGGGATTGAATCAAAATAGGAGGAACAACCGAAAGTCACAATCAACATTTCCTTTAATCTGCAAAAAATGTTGCTCAAATGTGATAGACAAGGCTGGGTAGTGAGATGGGTTGTTAAGGCCCCAGTTGAGGTGAAAAAAGGGGGAAAGTATAGTAGAAACATCCAAATAAAAATGGGAGTTCGAGATGGAGTTTCCATTCTCCCCTTCAATGAAAGAAGAGCCCTGCTGGTCATAAGGAGATAGAGTTCTATACTGTTAGGACCGAGTTGGTACTAGTCCTGATTGAAAATTGGGCCCCTCCCTCTACAACAGCATAGACTTGGATGTAGGAGTTTTTGAAATCAGGCACTTTGGCCTTCCTTTCAATCTGTGGAAAACCTCTAGTCTTGAGAAGATAGTTGAATCCCTAGATGTCATTGTGCTTGAAGCCGAAGTGAATAACCCTAGAATGGTGAAGATGAAAGAGATGGTCTAAACCCAGAGCATACTCCTTGTTCGATCAGTGTGTCCTTTGACAAGACTTGGTACAAGGTGTGGATTGTGAAGAATCACTCTAGAGACACAGGAGTAAGGTTGAAGACAAAGCTGAGGTTGAAGAATCACTCCGGTGTGTCCTCCCTCCCCACTCTCCATCCTTTGATTAGACTACTTGAATCTGCTTGTGTGGTCAAGCAAATTCAAACATCTGCTACTAAAATGAAGAGAAAGGGGGACATTGGGTCCCCTTATCTAAGACCCCTATTTTCCATAAAGAAATCCTTAGTCATAACATTAACCAAGACAGGATAGTGACAAGAGGAGATACAACCTTTTAAATACTAAATTCCCAGTAATAAATATTCCAAGAACCTCCTAAAATGAGAACTTTTGTGGGAAATAGAAAATTTTTCAGGGATATCACAAACAATGTTTCAGCCCCTAAATGCTAGTTTTGAAGTTGTAGACCTAGACAAATTGAAACAATGTTCAAAAATCAAAATGAAGTTCACAAATCCCTACTGTGCAAATCGTAATACCAGTATTATTTCAAATAGGAAGCTGGCATCCACTCTCCCTTGAGTGCGGACTAGCTCCTCAAAACAGAGGACATCTCAGTCATTTATAGATTTCTCCCCTGATATAGGATAGTTTAGCCTAAATGCTAATTAAATATACTCCAAAACAAAGGGCATATGAACTCTTATGGATTTTTTTATGAATTCTGTTTTGGTAATCTTTACTTCCTTGCGATATAATGTGTTTTTCTCTTGGCTGAACCCCACCAATACCACATATGCAACTAGTGAAATTAGATCGGTGCAGCTTCCCCAAATTCTGCATCAGGCACGAAAGGTGATAACGAAAGAAAAACAAAAAAATAAAGAAAGAAAGAAGGAGCAGAGAGTATAGACTGAATAAGAGGATTGCATGAACCCACAAACATCCCACATTTCAACCTTGTAAACGTAACTTGGTCTAATAAGTTCTAATGTTTTCAAATGCTCGAGCTTATTTACACATAAGTACATGCAGGTAACAGTAAGTGGACGGAATGAGTTTTGGTGTATATAAAGATCCACGTTGTGAGGCCCTAGAAAGTAGAAGCCATAGCAAGACTCGAACATACTAACTTTTAAGATCACAACCCACCCCCCACCCACCGAAAATGAAGTTAAACATACTATCATTGCTCGTCTTTTCAAGATCTATAACCCTGCATTCTTTTAAACAGAGTGTGAAACAATGGCACTGTGTTTTATTATGACTTGCTCCTTTACAGAACAGTAAAGTATACTCCTCCAAGCATACTCCCTTAAAAATGCTTGAGTTCCAAAAAACATTAGAAAGAAAGAACGAATGAAATAGAATGACCACGACCAACCAGTAGAATGAACTTACGCAACAAACCCGCTAGTGACTGTAACTATGGCATTCACATAAACAGACAAAGACCTGCACGAAAGTGAGTGAGTGAGAGAAACATTCTAACCTTCAGTCGATCGCTTCACGCCAGAAACAACCGGGTCAACAGCAGCCCCGACATCAACACCAGGCCACGTCGCCTGGGACAACAAAGGAGGCGTCGACGCCGCCGCCGCTGTACCGATTCCGCCGGAAATCCTGCTCGTAGAGAAGCCTCCCGCCCCGCCAATTCCACCAATGTCGCTGCCCGAGAATCTCAACGCGTCGTTCTGGTTCAAGAACATTGATGAACCTCGATCAATAACAGAGTACTTGGAAGAATCAGTGGTAGATAGATGATCTGAACTGAGGTATCTCGAGGAACCAACCAAAGAAGAATCGGATAGATAAGGATCTGTAACAGATCCTGGAGTTAATCTTGAAGGATAAACGGTAGAAAGACCAGTTCCTCCGTAGCTAGGGTTGTAACCGTAAATCTGGTTCGCCATAAAAGAAACCCTAGATATGGAAGGGTAGCAGGAGAAAAAGGCGGGACGTAAAATGGAATGGCGAAGGAGGGAGCTATGTGGCCTATCACCTATGTAGACGTTTTGTATTTTCTGTTAGGTATCAGTGAAACCCTAAGGCTAAAACCACTTGCCGGTGCCCTGGCTCGAGTCTTGCTTGCCACCGCCGTGTCTCCGATGAAAATTGGCTCAACCTACTCCGAATCGTACACTCCACACGCGTCATTTACCCGAGACCCGAGTTCGGATCTGCTCCCAAGTCCCAACAAACCTGGGAAGATGTTCCCGATTTGCGGCTGTAGTGCCTTGTTGGAGGAACGTTGGAAGCGTTTGGATGTGCAGTTGGCAGATCCGGGCTTGATCGTTTGTTTGCAGTTAGGGTTGTAACCGTAAATCGAACTTGTTTCTGCCTTTCTGCCAACGGTTCATCCATCCGGTTCAAGCAGGCCAAAACAGTTGAGTAATCCACGCTTGCATTTTGCATCTGATCATATGTTAATATACATGCATATTATTATTGGAGTGCTTGTATTTTTCATCTAACCATATATTAAAATGAATCATATATGCATATTATTATTAGAGGGGAGAGAGAGTAAAGGGTGGTAGAGAAATAAGAAAGAGAACTAGCAAGGGGCGCCCGTGCTAAGCATGCGTGAATAATATTGAATAATTGGGATAGTTAAAAATGAAGAAAATTGATATCAATTACATAGGCAGTCCTAGTTCTTGATTTTTCATAATAGAAATAATATAGAATAAAGAAAAAATAGTTTATATATAAAGAGGTGTTCCTTTAATAAGATCAATACAATTTTTTAAAGAATAAAGAAGATTATTTTTTCCTTGATTTATGAACTTCTATTTTGTAAACTCGGTCACTTCCCTCGATATTGCTCAAATGATAATGCTTCTTTTCATCAGCTTTTCGACCTTCTTTGAGACATCATCTTTGTAACTCTTCATATGAAGAAGAATCTTTTTCATGTTCATACACATATGGTTTTTTGGTCCTAGGCATGCTCGATTATATAGCAATTCCTTCTTCTCTTGCCTTTAGAGTTTGTGAGCTGATGCATGGGTCCAAACTAACAGATCATTCCAACAAAAAATAAAAATAAAAAATGATCTGATCATTTCAACCATCTATCTACTATATATGGTTCATCTCCATATAGAATGTTAAATGTATGATGGTTGAAAATGATCTCATCATGTTGATATTCTTCTTCCTGTTATTTGGGATCCATCCACCATTATTGTACTTTCTCTTACTTTTTCTTTTCTTAGCCCTGCTTTTTATGGAGAGTCAGGGGATCCTATGCTATGTTTGGTTTGATAGAAAAATAAGAGAGAAACATAAATCATAGATATTTCTAAGAGGAATCATAGATATCCTCTCAATGACAATTATTTCCAAGAGGAATCATAGATATCCTTCTTTACTACATATTATTTTGGTAGGGACAAGGACAAATTAGTCACCCCAAATGCTAATCAAGGCTCCAGAGCCTATGGTGCATTACTAAGCATCATATCAAATTGTTCCCTCAATACCCAAATTTGTTTGCAATTCCACAGTATTCCCTCCTGCCCGCAGTTTCTCACAAGACACATTAATCTGTTCTTCACCAGGTTTTAATTCTCTGAAGCTTGCTTTCCTCCCTAGTTCTTCAACTTCTTCAATAACAAGATCGAGCCTTGTCACAGTCTCTACCAACAAAGAAGCAAAGGCAGCAAATGGAAGTGCTTCAGAGAATTCAGGGCTAGTAATGGCAATCTTACTCAAAGTAGGCCTTAAGGATTTGCTCTCTGATTCCCTTGAATGATCACTGACCCATTTTGTTCTCCATTCTAGCAATGCTGATGTGTCAGTCTTGACAGAAGATAAGGAGACCCCAGAATCCTTCGAAGACTTTTGATTGGCAACTGCAACAGCTGCAATAATCATGTTCCTGGACTTCCTATGGTTGGAGCTGAGGAAGAGTCCAGGCTGGGAGTTGATGGCATTGTTGAGGTCTTGTAAAGCTTCATGGAGATGATCAGACAACACCTTTGGAGAGCAGCGACTATGATTCCTAATGCTATTTGCTAGTTCCATTCATACCTTTGATACTTCTACGGTTACTCGGATGCATGGGCCCTTGAAGAAAGCAAGGACTGATTGTGGGGTCTAAACAAAATCATTCAAATATCAGTAGAGGATCGGAATTCTACCATGTCTAAAATAGGAAAAATTTGTGCAAAGATGAGATCAAAATATTTTATTTTTTTTGTTTGTTTTAATTGCAAAGAAATGCTAAATATCTCATCGATTGAAATGCTTACAATAAATTGGAGAATCTCTTAACTTCTCCATCTTTTTTGAGTGAATGACATTCCCTTATTTAATGTATTAATATATACCTAGAGTTTATGTATAACTACTTTATTAAATTTATTTGAAGTATGAAACATGAATAGTCACTTTTCAATAATGTTGAAAGCTTGGGATGGCTACATAAAACTTTGACTTTCTCTGTGATTAAATATATTCCTGCATAACATACTATAAACAAAAGAAGTTAAGGAATGCCATACTTTGAGATGCTTACCTCTCACTTTGTCATTCTGGTTTTAGAACCAATAGCTGGTGAAACTTTTTGAGGAGACCGTTTCTCTGTTTTAGTCTTCACTGGGCCTTTCTTTCAATTCTCTTTGAGTTCTTTGTAGGATCCTTGTATGATTCATTTGAAATCTTTCTTGGAAGCTGAGTAATTTGTACATGAGTCCTTTTGGGCCTGGCATATTTTGTTTCTATTACTGCCTTTACCGATAGTCAAGAGATCAAGAAGAGTAAGCCGAAAGACAGACATAATAGTCTATAATAGAGATTATAATACTATAACAAAATTTCTACAGAGCACACACAACAAACTAAGTGAGCATACAAGAAAGATATATGTACATCAACAGCAGTCCATTTATGAACCATTACATCGAAGAATTCCCACCTTTGGAGAAGTTCTTTGTGTTTTTTTTTTTTTCAATCTGGAAGTATCGACTTTCCCTGCCATACAACTACTTGTGGATAGTTTGGTGTTTATACTATCAATATTTTCTGTTTCATCAGCAATATTATGTTTTACTTCCATTTCTGGTTCTTCCTTAACCAATGGTAGCACAATGACCTCATATTCACTTTGGTGTGTTCCAACATGTTGTTGTTGATCACCATCCAACAGTTCATCAGCATTACTAAGAGATTGATTTTGCTATGTTATATCAAGTTCTATGAGTTGGTCATCATCATCCAACATTGCATGGGAATTAGTGAGAGGGGGTTCCATGTCAAAATTAGGTGAAAAGTCCTCAACCTCCATTTCACAACCCATAATATCATATTTTTTCATACTGATCTGAATCATGTGGGATTTCATCATAATTAGCAAAATGACTTCCTTCATTACCCTACTCTAATTCTTCCATGTAACTCGTGTGGTCCAAGACATCATTTTCATTAGTTTGATGTTTCATTCCATTTTGGGATACAGATGAAGTTTGTAGCAGAAGACCATTCTTCTTAAAATGTGCTTCAAAATAGGCTTTCTTCAGAGTGATAGAACCAGCTTTTGAGCATTTCTCGACCTCTTCAAGGTATCTATTATGTGAGAAGGAGGATCTCCTTTCCCATGCTAAGGATTCACCTTCAAATCTTCCAAATGATACGAAACCAGAATGTAAAGATTATGCCTGACAGTTTTGAAAGAAAAGTAATGTAACTTCATATTGCATGTGACTATACATATTTGGTCTTTTAAGCAAATTTTGTTCAGAGAGAGTACAAGAAGAGACATAGTTGTGTAACACTAATTCATAAACCAATTTCAACCTATAAAAACTTGAGTGTAATCATGAAACCTCTCAGTGAAGATTATATAAGCAGAAACCTCTCAGTGAAGATTATGTAATCATGAAACCTCTCAGTGAAGAATATATAATCATGAAACCTCTCAACAAGATTGTAGTACAAGGTAGTTCTTTCTACGGATAAATGATATGTTCGTCATCATCTAGACTCTATAAATAATAAATCGACCAATTTAAGAAGAATGTTAGATAAATGCTTATTGGACCTCTACTTTATGAGCCCAATACCAAACCTTAAAGCTAATGGATTCTTCGACTTCTCTAGCCATGAGAAACCAAATCAATTCTCACATCCCTGAAATACCTATGCATTAAAGGCAGAAATTCTACCTCATAAACCGGTTTTACCATTACATCCTCAACGAATTATTATCAATGCATAAAATCAGCAATTAACGATACAAGCAACCCACTTAAAGACAATAACCACAGAATCCAACAATCAAAAAACTAGTTACAATGAAGAAGCACTTCAAAACATTTATATTTCGTAAATCCAATTCCACACTGTCACTCGTTTCTTGCATGTTTTTGCTGTAAGATTTCCTTTTATTCTATGATGAGTTCAGGCTTCCACGTGACCACTCTAAATCGAAGAAGAAAGCTAGAGTTCAAGCTTTGATCGAATATTTGGGTCTAACAAACGCTGACAATACAGTGATCAATGATGAGGGCCACAAAGGTATTTCCGGTGGAGAACACCATCGTGTTTCCATTGGAATTGACATCATTCATGACTCGATCCTATTGTTTCTTGACGAGCCGACGTTGGGACTCGACTCCACGAGTGCTTTCATGGTGGTGAACGTCTTGAAGTGCATCATCGCGAGCGGAAGCATGGTTATCATGTCCATTCATCAGCCCAGTTTCGAAATCATTGGCTTACTCAACTGTCTACTCTTCTTTTCACGTGGTCAAACCGTCTATTCATCAGCCCAATTTCGGACGCTCGATTCCACAGAACGAGAACAAAACTGATTTTGCTCTTAATTACATTAAGGAACTGGAGGGATTGCCCGGGGGAACGAAGAGCTTGGTTGAATTCCACAAGTCATGGCAGCAAAAAATGAATCATCCATTGACTTATGGATACGATAGACAGGGTCTCACGCTGAAAGACGCCATCGCTGCCAGCATTTCAAGAGGAAAACTAGTTTCCGGGGCGACGAACGATACGAGCGGTACATTGTCTCGCCTAAAATTATTACCCTCGGCCAAGCGATCGTTGA